GTACTTACTTCAACGTGGGATTTTTTTGTGTCCATTACAGTTCCAGAGGACCAGCCAGAACACGCTTGCTTTCATTTCCAACATCAAGAAGGCGCTTGCTTTCACTTTCACGTCCGGAGAAAGCGGGACTACATGCGCCTGTAGACTGCAAAGAAGAACCTCGGACCCCAGAGTTTGTACTGTTTTCACACGAAGGAAGAACCGCGGACCCCACAGGTAAATATTTGTTGTCCTAACAAATACTAGCAGTCCGGCAAAAGAGCAGAGGGAGACGACGGTCAATGGCAGAGCAGCTTTTCCCCGTCGACCTGGTGGCGTGGCATAGAGAGTCTTGCATTTTCGTCGTGGAAGATACCCTTGGAGGAGACGGACACCTCCAAAACGTGGTGTTCTTCATTACTCACTCGGGAACTACAAGCAAGAAGTGAGTGTTGTGAATAAAACAACAATTGGGGGGGGCGGACCCCGGACTTCATTGTTTCTTTCATTGAAAGAGGAAACGGCTAGTACTGCTGCGTACCCCAAATAAACGTTTCATTTTCGTCGTACGCAAAAAAAAAAGGCCCGACAGGAGAGAGCGAAAGAAAGCAAGCCTACCGGCACAGAGGGAATCTGGGGGGTTCCCCGGATGTTGTGGAGTGGCGAGTGGAGCGCGCTGTGGATGCGAGGACCTCGCTACCGCACCATCACCGAAAAAATTCCCATGGATCCTAAACGGCCACCAGCAATCAAATATTCGCCGTGACGAACACGAAACAATAGAGGTACTGCTTGTCCTACAAAAACGGAACAAACAGGGAGTAAGTGTTGCACGGGAATGATCACAACAGTTGAGAAGGAGAGCACAAAAACCAGGGCGGAGAAAAGATAGCCTTGTGAACACCGTCCATCTATATGCGGTTGGGCATGCGAGACATGTGAGAGTTCACGACAAAGGAGGGCCGACGGACAGACTTGTGGCGTGTGAGAGCCGGGTAAGAGAGGCTGGCATTTAACGTGATGTGTAGTGGATGGGGAGCAAAGGAAAGGGGCAACAGGTTCCTCGAGGGAGCGAGCCAGACACAAACACGAAACGGAGACAAACGAAGCCCTGGAAAGATGCCGGAAAGATGAAATATTTGTATGCACGACGTACATGCGAGGTCCAGAGAGATGATACATACATGCCTGTATTGAGAGGCGCAGTTAAACGTGACGTGTGGTGCATGAGAGAGCAAATGAAAGCGCCAAGAGGTTCCTCGAGCGAGCGAGCCACAGACGCGAAAAGCGGGTAAACGGGAATGAACAAAGCGGGAAAAAACGGGGAAACGGGAATGTAGTGCTGTGGGGCATGTAAGAGGGAGAGAGAGACTGTTGTGTAACAGCAGACGACAGACTGGTGTGTGAGAGGGGAGAGAGAGACTGGCTTAAAATAATGTTACGTTTGTCAAAAGGGAGAACGGTTCCGTGCGACCGAGCCGGATGTGATAAACGAGCTACGGACGTAATGAAAGACATGAGAGAGAAGTGGAATGCACGGAAAAAAACAGCGAGCTCCAAAGAGCCGGAACAGATGGAAACGAGAAATGGGAGGCCTGTGAGAGCCCGAGAGATCCGAAATGGAGCGCTCCCAGCGCCCGAGGGAAATTCTCCTGGAACGCTCGCGGGATCTTTAAAATGAATTAGTGGTAGTTGAAGAAAGTGACGTCGAGATCTACGAATAATGACGACAGAAGGAAAGCGTCGAGCAGGCACAAAGCAATAGATATATGACCGACCCTGGACCCCATCAGAACGTCAGGCTGAGCCTTGCTACGTTTTCTTGCGATCGGGCCAATACTGCAGGACACAACAATTGTCTACATTGTACCACAAGAGTAACCGCAAAAGATGTTGCCCATGTGTTTCTCTGGAATATTAAGAACGTTATCACCCTCGGGAGAAGATTTACAGGGGATGAGTTCAAGTCTTAACTAGAGCAATCGTGGAGACTCCGTGACATAACACACGCCAGATGATAGATGAGACAACATGTACACGAAGAGTCTGAGAGATGGCACCGGTCGGGAAGATGGCACCGGGGGTGCGAAAAAAAATCAAGAACGACATAATTTACTTGTATTTCCGCAACGGGGTCCGTGAGATCGCACCCGGTGTGATCTCACCGACCCTCAATCCATCTCACCGACCCTCAATCCAAGATTGAGCTCTCTTTGAGCTGCCCTAAGAGGTACATGTGCATTCCTTCAACATGTGACGACGGTGTCAGCGAAGTGCCACTCCGCTGTGTGTGAATGTATGTATCTCCGGTCGGCGCGGTTCACGCGGGACTTTATGTTGTTTTCATTTAATCGGTATGGGAGTTGTAAACCGTACGTTGCTGAAGATAGCGGTGGAGTTGGCACGTTTCCTCTTCAAAAAAATAGGAACCCAGATCTTGGTATTCTACAGTCGCACACCAGTACGAACCTACCATCGCGCAGCAACGGCCCGCTGGTGTACAATGATAGTAGTCAAAACTCTAGCCTTTGTCATGCACTTCAGATAGCGTTCCGCGATTTTCTGAAAGATGCATTCATCATCATCGACTTCGGTGAGCTACAAGCAGGATTATTGAAGTTGCTGTTCGGTCCGATCTTGGAACGTTTCAAGCACCTTTGCTTATGGCTAAACCTACATATGCATGGCCCCAGCCATTCAAATCGACAACGGCGACGAGTAGGATGTGTGAGGGAAGGGCTGCACTGAAGTTCGCGGCCCCACACACTCACATGGGCGCTGGTCCGCGGTCACCGCTGTGGCTCACCGATCTCTATGATGAAAGGATCGTTCGGACATTCGCAGAGAGCTAATGTGCAGTTTATCACGAGGGCTAACATCCTAAACACGAACATTGCGTACCAGCGACGGCAGCGGACAGTTGCTGCGCGATTATGCATACAAACACGTACAAAGTGGCGGCTCCGGTTGAAGAGAGGGTCGTGACAAGCCAGTATTTCTCTCTTACATCCGGTTTTCTCTCAAACCGTACCGTCAAATGTATGCATTTCTCATGGTCGTGACAAGCCAGTTCGGCTCTCTTAGATCGGTACTTTCTCTTACATAGTTTCTCTTAAACCGTATCCGCCCCGGTAGCATACTGCTGTCTGTGTCCCACCTTGGAAAACGAAGATATGCAGGCGTTTCTCTTTTTCTGCCAACTCCGCGCGCTTGTGGTGAATTTTTCGTCCCACTACTCTGGCGCCAGTCTACAAATACACCTTGGGTAGACACTGTATACCGAATCCTAACCTTCCGTGTAACAACCGGGGGGGCATCACACAGGAGAACGGAAGCACAGCAAACATGCATGACTTCGTAGTTTTTGTCCCACTCTGATATTTGAAGGTACAGTTGAGCGGAGAATTGTTTCGTAACGTGCAATGCATGCATAGCATAAACAACGAGAAAACGCTGCCTTGTTTGCCTTTGTTTTTCAAGCACCGCTCTCATTCCTGCTCGTCGCTTCTGTAACATTTTCTAAAAAAAATCGCTCTCTGCAAACTGCTGCTCTCCTAGAAAGACAAGAGACTCGAACGATCTACTATAATAAGTTACCCGCTAGACCACCCCAGGCGACTGGTGTAAAACGAAGGAGAGACATAGGCCGTTGAGGGACCAGATGCATGGCGAGGATAGAATTCTAACGTTTCCACTGGCTCAATTTGAATCACGGGCGGGCAGTCGGTAGATTTCACTGGCGACGGAACAAAAAAAAGGGGCTTTGTGGTGCGGAGCATACCATGGTATGCTGTAGATGGGCACGGGACAATAACCATGAGCTGCAGCAGTGGTGATGGCGAACACTTCAAAACGGTGTCGTGGTCAAAGTGTTATATGGGTGGTCATGTGTTTTGCACGAAATCGGTGTTGAAGTACACTGGATGATTTGATACCAAAAACCGAGATACACGTCCTTCAAGTAACGTGGGTAGATTGCGCCCATGACAAAGGAAATCGTACAGAACAAGTATGCTTATCTACTGTACGTTTGCAACTTGTACAGTACCATGTACAAAGCACACAGGGATCAGGTAACACCTTTTGGCGATCAGCCGGAAGAAATACGAAACATTCCAAATCCAATTTACTATGCATATGATTGCTTGACATTTCGTTTGTCTCACGCCGGCCGCACAAGAGCAGTCACCCCTACGAACACCTCCAGCACACGCCCGCCTCCTGATGGAGAGGTGTCACTTTCAATTTCAAAGAGAGCGTGCATCTTCGGCGGGTGTTGACAGAAAAGTAAAAGTGGGCAAGGTATCTTGGTTCTTGGTGGATGATCTTGGTGGATGGGAGGGGAGGTGGGGGACCATGAACCAAGGGCTTCCTACTCTACTCCTGCCTCTTGCTGCCTTACCGGACAAAAGGCCGGCATCAGAAGTGTCGATCTCAGGTATCCTGTTCTCCTCCGCTTCTTTCGCCTTCCTCCGGGTCAAGGGCATCTCGATGGTGCTGCTAATCTCGATCGATCCTCCTCCTCCCTGTCGCGCGTGCGCGTGCGTCGATTCTTTTCCGTGCAGTGCTAACGAACACCGCCCCGCTTGGCAGCGCGTGTCCTTCAGTAGTACGGACGAACCAGTCTTCACGTCGCGCACTCCTTGACGAGACGCCACTCCGTACTATTTTATCTCGCTCTCTCTCGCGCGCTCTCTCTCTCGTTCCCCGTCCTTGCTCTTTGCTGCTTCCCTCGCACCTCGCACCTCCTGACCTGCAATGAGCGTCGCTTGATGTTCGGGCGATTGTATATACTGGGCTCTGATATTTTCAACACTGTCCCCGGTATGATGCGTTTTGCTTGGGAAACCCCTAAAATTCAAATCGGCTGTCGGCGCGGGAGGGAGAGCGTTGTAGAGAGCAGGTGCAGCTGGGGCAGGAGCGGAGGTGCACAGGAGGATAGGATCCTCGAACAAGAGAAAATTTCGCTGTCGTCGACGGGTACGTTGGCAATGCTCTGTTAATGAAGGTGACTGCTTTCGATGAAGTCTGGTAGTGATGAGAACGCGACGCCGCCGTCTCCAAGGGCAGCAGGAGCAGCAACGGACGGAGATGATGGCGGCGATGTTAGTACAGCAGATGGTTCCACCACCAACCCCGGTGCTGCTGGCGTGGAGGATGGTCGAAAGCTGGTGAGAAGCGTTGTGTCTCTAGGCCACCGCTTGCTCAAACAGAGAGGAGTGGCTCCAGACCTCGTTTGCTTTGGCATTCTCCGCTGGTGTGCTGCCGTTACTCAATCCATATGGAACACTCGGTTATTGCCCGCAATCTGGAGCACAGCAGTGCAGCAGTAGTACTGCTGTACTGCTGTGGGTAGCTCGGGAGAGGGAACACAAGCAAGGTCGGTGGTCTCGTTTGCTGGCTGTGGTTGCCGCACACACCCGCTCTGTGCTTGCCATGTCAAGCTATGTCGGTGGTGTCTCACCAAACTTTCGAGCGAGACCACGATGCACAATGTCGAACTTTCAAAGCGCACACCAGACACACATGCATACAACCCGTAGGCGCATGCTCCCGAATGCTTCCCGAATGCTTCCCCTCCCCCTGGTGGGGAACGATTTTTTGAACCCGAGAGGAAGTCACAATCAATTTATTGGTTTTCGGAATCTGTCGGCGAGATCTTTCCAACGTCGACAACTTTTCGGGGCCGTGACTTCTTGTGCTACAGAGCAGGACTACCGACAGCCCGCCGATGACAGAGGGGGGGGGAGGCAACGCAAACACAACGACCTGGCGACACCTCTCTACACCTGTGGTCACACATTCGGGATATCCTCGGCATCCCTGTGCCTCTAGAGAGACCATGAGCTGCTGTTAGAATCTTACACCGCACGCGACTCCCCGGTGCCAATTCCCTGTTTCGCCTGGTTGTTGTGTCTGCGCAACAAAAAGTTGGACCAGTTTCGCCGGCAACGGAGGGCCTCGTCGGTAGACCGCGGATTGCAAGCCACTCGCGGGCGAGGAGGTGAGCCGCCACGAAGAGAGCTCACGAATTACCGGAGCCCCGCCAAGGCTAAGAGAGGCATGGGCAGAAGCGACAATGGGTGCAGTTTGCTATTTTTTTGTGCGGGACTGAAAAAAAACGCGCCGTCACCAACATCGCGAAGCACAACTTATGCGACGCCGGAATAGATAGACTACTGGTACTCTTTTTTTGCCCAAACCGCCCATATGCGTGACATAGCTCGCAGTAACACACGAGTACATATGTCATATCTTGTCAATCGCGTCGACTGATACGTAAGTGCATCGGAGGTTGCCGACAGCATTCTCTGCAGCCTACCGACCCCCCCTCCCCCCCCCCTTCGGCCGCGATACACTGTCGCATCCTCAAGCACACGTATCAAGACTACGGCGGCCTCGGGAGCTGTCGGGAGCTTCCCCCCACAGCAGCCACCACGCGTGGGGGGCGCACCACGCATCGTCTCGGCGAGAACGCGGCGCGCCTGCATCCACGGTTCACGGCCTAGATCACAGCGACTCCCGTTCGTCGTCGGAGCAGCTCGTTGGCCTTTCCCTGCTCCCCGGCGGGGGGGGGGTTGGCGCCGCCGACGGCGGCGGCGTTGTGGGAGGGGGGGGGGGCTCTCCTCATTCAGTGCGATCGTGGATGGGACAGTCGCTCGCCGAAGGTCCTGATCCTCGAGGGTCCCGGGGGCGTAGCGTGCCTACGGTGAGATACTGAGTGCTTGGGCGCAGGTGTGGGGGGGTCTCTTTTGGTTCCGCACGTTCGTAGGCGAGTTGGCTGGGTGAAGTTTAGACGCATATCCCAGTTGAAGGCACTGCGGTTGACGCTGCGTCGTTCTTGCCTGCCACGAAAAGGACAAAACAGGTTCCGGAACAGGCTCAACATCATCACTCAGAAAAACGGCGGTGGCTGAGCTATACAGCTCCGAGGAGCGCTATCTAGGATAACGCAATCAATCAACCGCGGCCATCTGCATGCGGTCGAAAATCTTTCCCCATACATGCATACAATCGTATGGGTGACTCATACCCCAACAAACTTGACAACAACTACGACGCATTATCCCCACACACACACGTTGCTCGCCATATACAGCAGATGAGAGGATCCGGGGGGGAGAGGGACAATGACGCCTACCAGGCACAACTCGCAGAGGTGCTCGGCAGGTGGGAAGCGGAGCGTGCGAAGACGGCCGAGCTTCAGGGTCGCGCCGCCGCCGCTGCCGGCCTCCATGACAGGGTAAGGTCCTCGCCGGGAACGGCCTCGCTCGCCCAGGCGGAGCTGGAGGAGGCAAGGGGGCAACTCGAGGCTGAGCGGAGGAGGGGGGATGCGGCGGAGCGCGAGATGAGCGCGTTGAAGCTCGAGGTGCGTCGAAATTGCTGGCGATGGTGATGACATCGTTTGTCCGGTGTTGGGTTTGCTTTCTCTTCTAGAGCGTTTTTGTCGCGTTCTTTGAAGGATTGTGATCGGATTTTGGTATGGACGTTGTGGTCAGCTTCCGTCTTTAGGTGTGGGTTGTCTTGTCGCCGAAGGGAAGGGAGATCATTGCAAAGTACAGCGTCAAGGCTCTTGTAAGCACTGAGCTGCTTGAAGGAGAAGCACATGAAAGTAAGAACGTCATGACGGCAAGTTGCACGTACTCCGCACCTCTCTACGAATCACGCGGGCGCTTTTCTCGCCAGGTGGATGCGCACAAGCGGGAAATCGAGGCGCGTGCTAAAGGCAACGAAGACCTGCGTTCGAAACTAGAGGTAAGGCACTGGGTGAACATGGCTTCCATTTGGCGTCGTCCTGTATTTCGTTTGGCCTCGGCTGGAGGGCGAATCTTTCCCTCTCAAGCGGCCCATGTTCCCATCGCCTGGTGGTACGTGATTTTTGGGTCTGTGGGGGTGTGCCGCGTGCTGGAGGAACCTCCGCGACCTCGCAACTCTGTGATCGGTTTAGAAGGGGGGTAGATGGTGATGCGCCCCTGAAGACACCCGGCTATCTCGGCAGCTGGTTGGGCTTCCATGGAATGGTCGGTTGTTATTGGATGGGGTGGTTTGGGCTTGTCAATGGCGTCCAACATCGTGCGGGCACTCTGTGGTTTGACGAAATCGAACGAAATATATAAACGTTTTTGACTTGCGCTGTTCGCTTGTACAAGCACGATGGCTTTGCCGCAGTACGGCGTCATTCAGGCGCTCGCGTTTCAGTGTTGCTTCCAAAGGTTTTTGCTTTGAACCGCAAGGTTATTCATCCTAACCCTACAGCAGTACACACCGTACATGAAATGAAGTAGGTGTACTGTAGTCGATGTGGGAACCCTCATGCATGTATCTCGCCGCAACCTGTGTGCGTCAAGAGTGCAACATGCGATGTGAGCACTCCCCCATACCGGCGCCATCTCGTCCTCTCAAGAGCGCGCTCCTGACGCCCCCACTCTCACCGATCGCATGGCTTGGTCAGGCTCTCCAGACTGTCGAGGCACGCTCCGAAGAAGCCTCCGCGGCGGCGGACGCCCTTCGAGGAACGCTCCGAGAAACCGAAGAACGGTTGGAACGTTCCGAGGAACGCCGCCGGCAGTCCGAGGGGCTTCGGTCGAAGGAGGCGGAGGACGCCAGAGAGTCGCTGCAGGCCGCCCGCAAGGCGCTCGAGGAGACCGAGGCCGACGCCGCGGAACGTTCCCGGGAACGCTCCGCGCGCGCAGCCGGCCTGCAGGACGTGCTGAGGGAGCAGGGCGCTCTGCTGGCGGAGAGGTGATATATTTTTTGCTTATTTTTCCAATATGTTGTTGGCGCCAGTCTAAACCTGTCGGTGCATATTTGATGCACCAGCCGGAGAGGACGAAGGTAACCGTGGGAATGCGCCGTTGTTTTTTTTTGTCCCCCCGCGGCCTTTCCTCCTGCGGTGCTTTCCTGAACCTCTCTACTCCCGCGGAAACCGTTGCTCCGCGGAACGTACCCCGATGAAAACGCAGAGAAGAGAGGCTGGCGGAAGAGCGCTCGGGCCGAGCGGCGGAAAGAATGGAGCTCCGTGAGTTGCGATCTAGGGACGCAGGGTACGTCCGTGAGCTGAAAGAGCGCGCGGACGAAATCGCGGAGCTCAACCAGGTAATCACAGCCTTGCTACCAGTCTTCCGTGTTTGTGCCGACCGCTGTCCGCGTGATAATGGAAATTTTATGGACGTGACCTCCGCTTGAGCTCGCGTACAGCAGCATGGGTGTCATTTTCTCTACTTCTGTCTCTCCCGTCGAGCACAATCTTCGTCCATTTTCCATGCCATCACCCCCCGTGTTAAGCAACCAAGACAATACTTCGGAGGGGTCTCTTGCAAGACCGATGGTAACTTTGTTTTTTGTACGTTCGGTGACGTTTCCGCTTCCGCCAATTTCAGAGTGCCAGAGGTGGATGTATACCATAGTGATCACATATCTCGTGTCAGCAGATCTCGTGCATGCACTTCGTTTGTGTGGATCTGGATCAAACCCTTGCGTACAGCAAGAACTTCATGCCGTTTCCTTTTTCATCGCGTTCCGACAACTTCTTGCAAGAGGAAAACTTAATAGTCCTTGGGGAAAAAAAAAATCTCCTTGCGCCGCAGGCCCTCTCTCAGCTTCAAGAAGAAGACCTGCAGACGGAAGAGGAAGTCGGGGCGGCCCGCGCTCTGCGTTCGGAGAACGAGGAACTTCAGGCACACCTCGCGCAGGTGACCACCACCGATGTTGAGGTTTGGCGGCTTCGGTGGCATTTTTTGGCGTGCGCTCGCGTGCAAGTTGGCGACGACATTGGGTTCCTTTGCCCGGAACAGATTTTCGAAACCTGTTTCATGAACGCCGCCCTAGGACTAGGACGGCAAACCGGTATCTAGGTAGGTTTGGTGGTTTGGGCTCAGTTCGGGGAGGTATCGGATGCTCCCGTTTCATTATGAGGTCTGATTTCACGCCACGCTCCCTCCCATGGAAACGGTATTTTGTGCGCTTTTCTCCTGCGAGTACACGGAGGACGGGGTGTGCCGATGACGCTCTTCGCGTCGTCCAAGTCGTACGTTTTGCCTCCAAAACTTTCAGAAAAGTATCGCTGTGACACGACATCCTTTCCCACTGTTGTGTAGAACATTTGCAGTGGGATCATCAAGTTGTGTTTCGGGGGGCTGATACTAAAGACTACAATAGCAGGCACGTAAATACGGTATGTAAGCAAGGGGGCCTAGACGTTAGGGATTGTGGGGGTGAACCACACACGGAGACCCAAATGGGGCATCTCCGTCCGTCCCTCGTTGGCCTAGCCCGACTGTTTTGTTTTTTTTGTCCATGTGTTTATGGTGCAGGCTCTTCGACAGGCGTCTGCGGCGGAATCGTCTGCCCGGGCAGCGGAAGACCTCGCCAACAAGGCCATTGAGGAGATGGTCCAAGAGCTGCAGGACACAAGGGAGCGATTACGAGATGTGGAGGTATGAACGACAGAAGCGGCGCGGCAAGCACGCTCTTCTTGTACAAGACCTGGTTGTTTCCGAAAATGTTTTGTCCGTTGGTTTGTTTTTTCTCGACTGGCAAGCCTTTGTTTGTTCTAGAGGCGCTGGCCACGTGTTTTCTTCTGTGTGGCTTACGTGGGTAATGTGCGAGAGCGAGAGCGCTGAAAGGTTTCGCCAATGGCCTGCGGCCCACCCAAGGTAAAACAACAGTCTTTACCGCGCACTCGAGGTTGCTGCGCGCCTGGTCGCTGCCGCGCGGTGTGGCGCAGCGTTTGGGACTCGCTGTGTGTGTGGGGGGGGGGCGTACCCTCCATGCACCCTACAAATTTTCAATTGACAGGGGGGGGGGGGGGACTATCGACGGTGTCCAACTATCCCCTTTCAACGTTTGTGCGGGGGTGTGCGGGGGTTGTTTACCCACCCACGTCCAGACTCTGCACCCCCTTGGCGAATGTCGCTTGATTTGAACTCACGGACGGTCCATCTGTACTTCAGGGGGAGCGGTCGCACCTCGAGCAACGGCTGGGCGCAGTCGAGGCACGCGTGTCGGAGGCGGCGCGCAACCGCGCCGACTTGTCCCGCCGCCTGGCGGAGACGGCCATCGAAGCGGAGCAGGCGGGTGTCGAGAACCAGAGACTGGAGCACCGGGTTCGGGTGAGTAAGGGACACAACAACGTGGTCTTGTTAAAGTGCCTTTCTCTGCGCGTTGTGCGGTGTGGTGTTTTGATGCCCGGAAGGTGTACGATTTTTTCGGTGCGGTGCGAGGGGGGGCGATGTGATGCTGACGTCGGTCTTGCAGGGCCCCCTGAAAGTGGTTGCTTGCTGCTGGACGGACGGTGTTGAGTTCTCCGGCGAGATTTTCATCGTTTGTTGGCGTTTCGCTTCACAACCGAGCAAGCCCAGCCTGGGCTAGTACTGCCGGGCAAAGGAAATAGGGAAATATGGTCATCTCACGACCCTTGTCTCTTGACCGACGTTTTGTTCGTGCGCACCTTTTTTTTTGCTCGTGCGCTGGGATGCCGCTCATGGTCCGTGGTCCAGTCCCTCTCGGAGACGTGGGAGGCCGATGGCGGGGGGTTGGACCTGTCCTCGTCGAGCAGCTCGGACGGCCGGAGACAAAGCGCTGACGAGGTGCGTCAAGATCGCTCTTTGGGTGATTCCTGTCCTTTTTTCGGCGGAGATTCTAAGTGTGTTTTTTCTTGTTGTGCAGTGCAGTACCGGCGTACATATGGCTGCCTGGCCAGGCTAGGTCGAGCAGGTTGAGTGTGATGTGTGTGACGCGTACGCTCGTTTCCGGCCTGGTTTTTGTCTTGCGCTTACGAACAAACACCCGGAGTCGCCCCCAAGGCCGTGCCGCCGGCGTAAGGTGTCGCGCTGCATGTTCTGTCCCGCACAGCAGAGGACCCGCACGTGCGCGCGCCACCAATGTCGTGCCCACGCCGACTTTCTTCTCTCCCTTGGCTGTGTTGGTCCCGCCTTCTCCCCCCCCCCGCGCGCGCTCTTTGGACTCACGCGTGGATCGAGCAGCTGCCAGCAGGAGGCGTTCCTCCCCGGCCGTTACAGGCCGCTTCTGGGCCGGCGGCGGCACAGCAGCAGCATCAGGACTTGAGAAGACAGGTGGCGGCCCTCCAGGAGCACCTTGCGGCGGCAGAGGCGAGGGCGGCGGCGGCGGAGTCAAACGCCGAGGAGGCGGCGGTGCGGGGGGGCACGGCCGAAGCCGGCAAGGCCTCGCGAGGCAAGGTAGCACTTACGGAGGAGCCAAGTAGCGTCTCTGAGGCTGCCGTCGGCGTCAAGGACTGGTCCGAGGTGTCCCTCGAAGCTGCTCGCGTGGACCAGGCAGAGCTGAAGAACACTGTTGCGTCGTTTCGGAGCCAGCTGGAGGCCGCGCTCAGCGCGGCCGTGGCCGACAAGCAGAAGATGTCCGCCGCCGTTGCGGACGCTCGAGACGAGCTGGCTTTCGAGGCCGACCGCAGGGTTGCCTTAGAGAGAGAGGTCACGGCACTGAGATCGCGGCTTCAACAGCCGCAGCACCAGCACCAGCACCAGGGAGTAGGAGGCGCTGAACAGGCGGGGCGGTCGGCGGAGCATGAGCGGGTGGCGGGCGCGGAGGCCTCGCTGGCAGAGCTGCAAGCCGTCTGCTCGAGGCAAGCGGAAGACGTAGCGGCGGCTCTCAAGAAGGCAGACGCAGCGAAAGGCGAGCTGGCCGCAGCGCGGGTGAGCATCGCAGATCTTGCTGCCGCCTCCGACAGCAGCCTCCAGGGTAAGCTGGATGCCGCCGAGAGAAAGCTGGAAGAGTACGCCCGCGAGGCCGCCGCCGCCCAAGCTCAAGCGGAAGCAATTCTCAGGGCTGAAGCGGCCAGCGTTCATACCGCACTCCAGCGGCGGCTGCAGGAGGCCGAGTCTCGGGCGATATCGCTTGGCGAGGAACTGGAGGCCGCGCTGAGAGCGAAGGAGGAAAGCGACGTGCAAACTTCGAACACGGCGGCGGTGGCTGCTGCTGAGACTCTCAAGGTGCTCATTTCGTCGACGTACCCTGATGGTTGGTGGTGTGCGTGCTTAGGGGACTGCGGCTGTGAGCCGTGCTGTTGTACATCGGAGTATGTCTGAGGATGCAGATACTCCTCTGTTGAGGCCAGCAAATTTGTGCCACGGGGATGTTCTATTTCGTGTGTTTCGGCACGTGCTATGTACCAAGCCGTGTTTCTGGTCGGTACCCGTCCATGCTCGTGGCAGAAACCCTCCCCGCTCTTTTGTTTGTCGTGGACTGGACCATCGTGCCAATCGCCGACACACACACACACAAACGAAGCCTCCCTTAAAATCGTCTGACCTCGACGTGCTCACGTTGTATGCTCCCTCCCTCCCTCCTTGTCCTCCTGCTACTATCTGGCCGGCCGGCCGGTCGCAATGCGGGGGCGGGTCGTGACAACAACAACAACAACAACAACAACAGCATGAACGCGCTGCCGAGGAAGCCATCGCCACCGCGTCGGCGGCGAAGAAGGCGCAGCGGGACCTCGAGAACCGGCTGGACGAAGCACACGAAGAGCTAGCGGCCGCCAGGTCTCGGTCCGCGCGCGCCAGCGAGCGATCCGCCGAGTCAGCCGCGGACGCCGCTAGGAGGGGCGCCGAAGCGGCGGCGGAGCTGCGGGCCGTCAGGGACGACCTGGGAGCCCGGGCCCGGGAGGCGGAGGCGACGGCGAGGGTGGCCGAACAGCGGGAGAGGGAGGCTCGGGCGGAGGCCGGCAACGCCGCGGCGAAGCTGAGCGCTGCCAGGGCGAAGGGCGAGTCCATGGAGGCCGACCTAGCGGCGGTTCGCGCCTGGGCGGAGGCGGGATCGCGGCGGGCGGGGTCGTCCCTGTCGGCCCTGCAGGCCCGCGCGGACGGGCTGGCGGCGCGTGCCGAGCGCGCGGAGGGGGCGCTGGCGACCGCCCGAGCCGACCTCGAGGCACAGGGATCCGCCCTTGCGGCCGCGACGGAGAGGGCTAGGGAAGCAGAGGGCGAGCTCGAGGCCGCCGTAGCGGAGCACACACGGGCGGAGTCCGAGCTGAGGAACCGCCTGGAGAAGGACAAATCCGAGGCCGTTGAAAACGCCAGGGCTAAGGCTTCCGAGGACCGAGCGCGGCTGGAGGCGGAGAGATCTGAGGAGTTGGCTGGCCTCCGGGAGCGGCTAGAGGAGGCGGACGCGAGAGCGGGCGCGGCGGAAGCGCGGCTGGCGCGGGCGCAGGGGGAGGCGCTAGCCGCGCAAGAGGCTGAGTCGGCCACGGCGGCCGAGGCGAGCTCGGCTGCGGCCGTCCTCGGGGCAGAGCTCTCTGCTGTGAAGCACGAGCTAGCGCGGGCGAGGGCCACCCTATCCGCGGAGCGGGAGCGCGCGGCGGAGGCACAGGCGTCGGCCGCGGAGCTCGCGAAGGAGGAGGTGCTCCGCGCGGAGCAGACGGCGAGCACGGCGGCCGCGGCCCTGAAGCACGCGCTGGCGGAAGCCGACGCGAGCGCGGCCGAGGCCAGGGGCGCCGCTGACGCGACGGAGGAGGGGCTCCGCGCCCTGCTGACGGCGGCGGAGAGGGACGCGGACGTGCGGTCGGAAGCCCTCGCGGTGAGCGAGGAACGGAGGGCGGCGGCGGGATCCGCGCACGAAACCGTGCTAGAGCAGTCCAGGTCGGAGGCTTCGCGGCTGGTGGGCGAGCTCAGGGCTCAGCTCGCGTCGAAGGAGGCGAGAGCCGAAGCCGCCGCCGAGGCCTTGACTCGAGAACGGGCGCAGGCGGCGGCCGTCGCCGAAGACCTGGCGAAGCTCGAGGTCACGGCGAGAGACTCTCAGTCCCGAGAAACGGGCCTCAGGGGGGAGCTGTCCGCCGCGCGCGCGGCGGCGGTGGCGGCCGAAGAGGCCAAGGTCGCGGCGGCGGCCGCGGCGAAGTCGGAGGTCGACCGGCTCGAGCTCGAGGTGGATGAGCTCAAGGACGAAGTCGCTCACGTTAAGGCCACCCTCTCCGCCCACCGCTCTAGCGCGGCCGCGCAGGGGGCGGCGCACGCGGAGGCGTTCGAGCGCGTGGAGGCCGCGGCGCGGGAAGCGAAGTCGGTGGCGCGGGCCGCAGAAGAACGCCTCAGCGCTGCCCTCGAGAAGGCCGAGAGGGACCTAGAGGCGCGCTCGGCCGGGCTGGTTGCCGAGCACAGGGAGCGGGAGGAAGCGGTGAAGGCCGCCGGTGACGTGGCGCTGACGGCGGCGGTGGCGCAGGTCAAGGTGCAGCTGAACGGTGAGGTCACCATGGCGAGGGAGCAGGCCGAAGCCAGCGCTCGGGAAAGCGCCGTGTGGCGGGCCCGGGCGGAAGAGAAGGACGCCGACCTGGCGAGGCTCGACGAAGCCGCGGCGGCGACCGAGGCTGCCACGTTCGCCGAGCTCGCGACGTCCAGGGACGCGGAGACGGCCACTACGGCCGCGGCGGCCCGGCTGAGGCTCGAGGTTCAGGCGCTCGAGTCGGGGGCCGAGAAGGTCCGGGCCGAGAGGCAGGAGATTGAGTCGGCCGCGAACGCCGCTGTCGCCGCCGGAGAAGCCAAGGCGGTCCGCCTGGCGGAGGAGGTGGAGGGTCTGCTCAAGGAGCTTGCCGGGGAGCGGCAGGAGGCGGAGGAGAAGCTAGCTGAAGCGCGGGCACAGGTACATATCTATTTTTGATAATGCGTTTTGGCGAGGGGGTAGTGCGCTTTTGTGGAAGATGAAGTCACAAATGATATAGGTTCGCAGCCTTTCTGTACTGAGGTGGTGGACCTTGGCAAGGCCCGGTCGGTGTTTGGAGAGTACGATACCGAATCCAATCGGATTGATGGATCCAAACTTGGACCGAGCACATGACGGAATCATGTATTGGGTCGAAACATCTTGGAGGAATTGGTGACGGGAAGAGACCACATCCTCTTGTCGCTCCCTAGCGCTCGCGAGCTGCCGAGCTAGGTCACGAATTCCTCCTACCGGTGCTGGAGACCTCACCCAATGTAATACTGGTACTTGATAGGTTTCTTGTTGCGAACGAGGTTGACTTCCCGAGCTGCGCACAGCACCCTCGTCCCCACCCGAAATCCCCCCCCCCCCCCAAATAAGAAGAAACAATTGGCCCTTGGGGATCGGTCCGGGGGGAAACACCCCCCCCCCCCCCCGCGGCTCGGGGTTTTTGGG